TGGGCCATGGCCGCTGGGCCTGCGCGTCCGGAGCCTGTGCTCCGCGACGGGAGAGGCCGCAGCAGTGAGAGGCCCGCATACTGCAAAAAAAATAAATAAATAAAAAGTCTACCAACAACAAGTGCTGGATAGGGTGTGGAGGAAAGGGAACCCTCCTACACTGTTGGTGGCAATTTACATTGGTATAGCCACTATGAAGACCAGCATGGAGGTTCCTTAAAAAACTAAAAATACAACTACCATATAATGCTACAATCCCATTCCTGGGCATATATCTGGAGAAAAACGTGGTTCGAAAGGATACATGCACCCCAATGTTCATTGCAGCACTGTTTACAATAGCCAAGACATGGAAGCAACCTAAATGTCCATCAACAGATGAATGGATAAAGAAGATGTGGTACATATATACAATGGAATATTACTCAGCCATTAAAAAGAATGGAATAATGCCATTTGCAGCAGCATGGATGGACCTGGAGATTATCATACTAAGTGAAGTAAGTCAGACAGAAAAAGACAAATATCATATGATATTTATATGTGGAATCTAAAAAAAGGATACAGACAAGAAAGTCTGTTACAAGACAGAAACAGACTCACAGACTTAGAGAACGAACTTATGTTTACGGGTGTGGGGTGTTGGGGAGGGACAGATTGGCAGTTTGGGATTGACATGTACACTGCTGTATTTAAAACAGATAACCAACAAGGACCGACTGTGTAGCACAGGGAACTCTCTGAATACTCTGTAATAACCTAAATGGGAAAAGAATTTGAAAAAGAATAGATACATGTAAAATATATGTATGCAATATAACTGAATCACTTTGCTGTACACCTGAAACTAATACAACATTGTTGTTAATCAACTATACTCCAATATAAAATAAAAATTAAAAAAATAAAGTGTCTATAATTCATGTCTTTTAATTATTTAATTTGCCTAAGTAGCCAGGTTTCTATTATTATTATATTATATGTAATCTTGATTTTGTTTTATAGAGATGTTTGAATTAAACATACCAAATGGAACACTGAATAATCTGAAGGGAGTAAAAGAAATACAGAGGATTTCACTGTATTCTGTGGTGCGTGAAAATGCACTGCTCTTACATAACATCTAACTGTGCCTGGGAGCTAAGAAAGAAGCAAGAGCTTTCTTTAGCACCACAGTCACGCCAGGGTTCTCAACTGCATCATGCTCTCTGCTACTGGGCAAGAAACAGTCTTGACATGGATTCAGAAAAAATACCCACTTAGGGGTAATTTGTAATAACAAGAACAGTGGGTACCAAGTACCTACACATACCAGGAATTCAGTTTTTCTGATGCAGAACCAGAGGTTCAGAGAGATGAAGCAGGCTGCCCAAGGTCATACAAATAGCAAGCCAGTTCCTCAGGGCAAGGGCTGGGTCTTAGTTATCATCCTATCTGGAGAGCCTCAGAGGTAGGATGCAATCACTGTTGGTGGGGTGCCTGTGTCTGACTTTTAATGGCAGAGGTTGTCTTGTTTTGCTTAGTTTTTAAGTTGGTTTAAGAAATTAGCACTTGTGTGCTCACTCTCTCTCTCTCTGTTGTGTTAGGATGGGGCAGTTCTTAAAATGAGAGGTTGATCCAGGAGACAGTTAAAATTACTTTTACTCTAAGTTACATTGACAACTTACAGGGTAATCATTTTTAAAGGATGTGGTACATTTATTTATTTATTTTTATTATTATTATTTTTTTTAACATCTTTATTGGGGTATAATTGCTTTACAATGGTGTGTTAGTTTCTGCTTTATAACAGAGTGAGTCAGTTATACATATATATATGTTCCCATATCTCTTCCCTCTTTGTCTCCCTCCCTCCCACCCTCCCTATCCCACCCCTCCAGACAGCCACAAAGAACCGAGCCGGTTTCCCTGTGCCATGCGGCTGCTTCCCACTGGCTATCTACCTTACGTTTGTTAGTATATATATGTCCATGTCTCTCTCTCGCCCTAACACACCTCACCCTTCCCCCTCCCCGTATCCTCAAGTCTGTTCTCCAGTAGGTCTCTGTCTTTATTCCTGTTTTACCCCTAGGTTCTTCATAACATTTTTTTTTTCTTAAATTCCATATATATGTGTTAGCATACGGTATTTGTCCTTCTCTTTCTGACTTACTTCACTCTGTATGACAGACTCTAGATCTAGGTACATTTATTTTTAAAATGATGACCTCCCTGAGAGAAACAACTATCTTTCTTGTGATAGATGCTTTATCAAATCCTTGTAAGTAACAATAGGGGGGAAAAAAAAAAGACTGTGTTATATAACAGAGCAAAATGGGAAGACTTCCTGGGTTTTTTTCCTCCTTCTATTAAAAACAAACAAAAACAACAAAAAACAAACACCTGCCTGGAGTCTGGAGTTAGGCCCAGTTGATTTTTTTTTTTTTTTTTTTTTTGGATTTCACCTTGGTGAATGCTTTCACCAAAGGTATATGACACTCATGGTTTCATCTTCTGAAATGAGACTTGACAGCTGTTCGACACCACAGAGCAACGTTATATAACAAGGCAGTTCAAGAGGCAAAAAAGAAAACCACATTGAAATGAGTTTGGTGAGTGGGTTGGTGGTTAGGCAGAGTACACTTTCACCAACATAGAAAATAGTCCATGGCGAGGCCACGTGAACAATTATCATTTTGTAAATGCTCCAGATTTTTCCTACAATAAATCTCTGAACTGGACATACTTACATATCACAGGCAGTGACCTTCTGAGTGAGCATTTGTGTGGGAGAGCACTGCTCCTGCCAGAGTCTGAATTCTTTTAGGGATGTGCCCGGAAGTCAAGTATGACCCCTCCTCCTCTTTTGTATAATGCCACCCCACAGAAACAGTTTTTAATAAACAAAGAGTAATTTCAATGGAAAGAGTCAAATCGTTTTGAGAGTCAAAGACTTTTGACCTTATTAGCAACTCTAAAAAAAATATGCAATGCAATTCACTGTCCAACATGAGCTCTTCCTGAGCATAAATATTTTACTTTTTTTTAAACAGTGAGCCCAAGCTCGTTTTAATATCTTAGCTCCAGAGAAGGAAGCAGGCGTCTACTGTTTAACACGCCTCTTTAATTTAAAAAAAAAGTATCTTTAAAACAGCGTGGGTACCAAGCTATGAGTCACAACTGAGTTGTCCCACAGTCAGTACTTTCTGTTTATACAAAATTTGCTCATGAAAGCCATGTGTTAAATTAAAATTGAGAAATTACCGGAAGACACAACCAAAAAAAATTAGAGAATGTGTTTGTTTATGCAAATCCTTGAACAGCTCTACCCTTTGCTTTTTATCAATATTGACAGAAAGCATGTACAATGAACTTAGCACTAAAATGGCATCCCTAATAGGTCAATCTGTTCCTGCTTAACATACCAGAGGGATATATTTTAAAATCTCAGCCATTTCTAAAAAGTTTGCATAGTTTCCTGCTTAGGAACCTAAATGGCTATTTTTCAGTCCGAACATGCACATAACTTGATATTTGCAAAAGGATGTTATTTGGGGTCATTTTCCTGATAAAAATCCCGTTAGACCAGGTTGTATATCATGCAAGAAGACACTGAGGACTAGTACCTGCATGGACTGTTTAGGTCCATAAATGGAAGAGGTGGTTGAGACGGGATGCACACACTGAATGGTCTCAATTTCATTTTACATCAAAGATACTGGTTGAAAGATCAGGTCTTTAATAATATGCTTAGAGAGGGAAAAGAAAACTATTTGGTTTACCTTGAAATATTAGCAATCTTTACACAGCCCATACATTTTGGAATGTATCCTTTATCCTCAAATAATCTGAAGTTCATAAAAATCTTTTTCACTATGGAAAAAGCAGAGCATATTGGGGGCTGGGTATTTAGCATCTGAGTAAAATTAATGCTAGTGTTAAAAATCAGGATAAATTGCAAATTTGGAATGAAATGTCTTACTACAGAGCCTGGTGCATTCTATCTGCTGAATAAATGTTGAATAAATTAATAAATAAAAGGAAGATCAGGGTTTCCAGCTTTATCATCTTTTGAAAACAGATACCCGCTAACATCAAAACTAATGCCATTTTGTCTACATTAACGATATTCATGTCTCAGGAACCTCATCATAAAGTTGTATAACTATTGGGAAGTTACTATAGAAATGCTAGTGCATCTACCCATGAAGTGTAACTGGATCTCCTTAAGCACAACCTCACATTGTATGTTCTCTGAATTAGGTTGCAAAGGACTGAACTTCAAGGTCTTATATCATGCTATAAATACAGGCAAGATCTACACACAGCTTGAATCAACACACACACACACACACACACAGCTTGATGAAAAATGATTAAAGTACAGTTGGTAAAACACAGTAACACAATAATTAAAAACTACACACACACACACACACACACACACACACACACACACAAAGTGAAAGAAAATACTCAAAAAGTGAAGAGAAGCTGCTAGTTGTCAGCAGCATAACGGTCCCATGGTAGCCATCCTCCTTTCACCATGGTCAATTCATTAGCAGAGGAGAAAAGACAGAAACTATGGGAAATGCACACCATCTGCTCAATCCAGATGCAACAGCACATGCCTCTTATAGCCAAAGCTTTTTACCAGAAATGGAAGGAGATAAGATCTAATCCTCTCACAAAATATCCCACAAAGGTAGTTAGACATATCTGCATCACAAATAAGTATAACACCCAAATCATTATTAGATGAGAAATATCAGTCAAGACTTTTACCACTCAGTATACACTGATCAAACAGAATACTAAATCAGCATCAGAGAAAATGGGGTTGGATTCTATCACCTTTATTAAGCTATTCCTTAAAAAAAAATCTTGCTTAAAACATCTTCATTCCCTGAATAGCAAGAACAGTCTGTCCTAGTTTTAAAAAGACACACTTTAATATTGTATATTTCAAGAAATGTGCATTTCCTTTCTTATAACAAAAGGTTAAAAATAAATATTCTTACCTTGAAATTGTGAACCTTTTCATATTTTGGAATTTGCTCGTTTTCTTTCAGAGTTGCTCTTCTAACAAGTGATGTCAACTGCGAATAAGCAAAGAGTTTCAGAGGTTGCCAGATTGTCACAGACGACTTTTGAGAACCCAGTTTCATTCCCAAGGCTGCTATCAATAAATCTTGCTGACGGCCCTCTTGTTTTGATTTGTGAACTGTAGCTCTATTAGTTTTCCTACCCGACCAAGACTCTTTGGATGGCATTTTGGAATTCACAGGAAATAAAGAAAACCTATATTGATCTATGTCTGTCGATGAACTCTATTCAGCTAACAAATGAGCATTCTGCCAGCCAGCACAGAACCCTACCCTACAGAGAGCTGCAGAGAAACATCACCGAGAGGTGGAGGAGGATGATGAAGCACTTCTTAAAAAGAGGTCGACTAACCAGAAAAATTCTTCTTTCTTCCTTTTTTTTTTTTTAAAGGGCTCTATATTTAAGCTTCTGAAAACTTAAGAGTCTGAACAGAAATAGAGTCGATGCTAACATACAAAACATTCAGCATTTCTCTATCCTTTTTAAAAAGCCATGCAATTTTGACAAATGACACATTTCTAAAAGCTTTCTTTTCTAGTCAATATATTAATGTCCATTCTAAATGAAAGATGCCTACATACTGCCTGCAGTCAGTTTCTAGCAACTGACACCCTGTGAAGCCCCTGGCAGAGGATGGGGGAGGGGAGGGATTTGACAAGGAAGGTTGGATTAGACTGGTCACCGTTAAGAAAGGAGATAACCAATGAAAATCAAGCAACAGTATTTAAGTACTGTATTCCTCAACTCACTGTCTGTTTCTCCCTTCTCATGTAAGATTTTCTTGCTGGCTCAAGGCAAAAAAAAAAAAAAAAAATTAGTGGGAAGACAATGAACACTGAATGAGTCATGCATCATTACAAAATGGATTTTTTTTAACCTATTAAAAGTAAAGGAAAATTAACACATACAACAGTAGGTTTTAAAAAGAATGCACCACTGCCAGGTAAATTATGAAAGGCTGATCTATAATCTACCTCTGTGCATATGGACTGTTAAAGATGAGCAAAAGCTGGTAAGTATTTTGATGGAAAAGAAAAGGAGTTTAACTAGTTATCATTCTATTTTCATGGAGAGCAAGAAGCACGTACATAATGCTGCCAACACCCTGGGGTGGTCAGTTCTGACTTCCTACCGTGAGTAGTATTGTTGTGGATCTATGCTTAAATAGGTCCAACCACTATTTTCATTCTTAGTCTCAACATTCTTCATTCAGAGAGCTTCAGGCCAGGTCACAGTGCAAGCCGGCTGGGAATAATTCCTCACGTTCACAGGTCCCAGATGTAGTGTAACTGTGCTTGTTGGACCTTAGGTGTTTGTTTGCTGATGTAGAAAGGCGGGTGCAGGGCAAGAGACTCAAATGCAGCTTCATTTAAGAGCAATACCTATACAATGCTTTTTTACTAAGGTGCTATTTAAGCTTAAGTTTTCTCATATTGGTTCCTTAAACACCTCCCATCTGTTTCCTCATGCTATAGTAATTAAGTTTAACCCATTATGATTCTAAGGTTACACTGTATTTAAAGAATCTAAAACTCTATATTGAAATGAATTCAGTCTATTTGCGTAGATAATTGCAAAGATTTTATCTCAGATTTCATATTCTACAGGGGTTATGGGCCCAATGCAGATTCTAATTTAATCAGGGCATGAAGTGGTCCTTAAATCATGCTAGATATTGATGATACTGAATGACTGATTTTCTAAACACCCCCAAATATTTTGAGTATATAGTTCCAACCTTTAAAATGGTTTATTCCTTTAAAAACATTTCTAAGAAAATAGAAGGCAAAATTTAATATATACATCTACAGATGTTTCATTTCCACAAATTTATATCCTAAAGTGATTATTATGAGACAAAAAAAGTTTTTTTCCCCAAGAAGAAATACGACGGAAAGAACTTTCCTTGCCTAACCTAAATTACTCTGCAGCTTAGACTTAGTTTGTCACATGACTAAAAATATAAAGGCCAGCCAACTCTTTTGTCACATACAAGCTAAAGTGAAGTTTATCTGATTCTCAGTGGGCCCAGAAAAAAAAAAGATTCTGAAGGCAAATTTAACAGTATTTTTTTTCTCCACAACATTTAACACTGAATGTTAAAGTTACTAAGTTAAAGAAAACAATCACCCATGTAACCCAACTAACTTTTTTTCCCTGAGTATTTCTGATCAAGGTCCTTTATTATAGATCACCCCAGTCCTTCAGCTGTAGTAACTAAAATTCAACCAAAGCATAAAAATATTCATGGTAGATTTATCCAGAAAATTCATGGCTGAGTAAAAGTGAACATTTTGTCACTGAGAGGCCAGGTCTACTGCAGACTCTGCAGAGTCATACTGCCTTTCCTGAGTAATTTTTCTACCTAAGCAAGAAATACTGGAATAATTACAACTTGGGCAACTATCTAGGGCACTAAGGAGACAGGAAACGATGGTTTAGGATGAAAAACTTCTTAGCTCCCCTCAGGTGGCTGGGGGTTTGGTCACCATTACGCCTTCCATAACTGCAGCTGCGTTTCTGCATTAATTTTGAGGAGCTCTCAAGTCAGAACTGCTAACTCTCGAATTCAGAACCAGTATCAAAGTTCTGACATTCCAGACAAATGTATACCACACTTCCTTATATTTTTTCTGGCCATATCTATCTACTTAGATAGATACAGCATCTATTAATTATGCCTATTGTTCATTGATTATTAGGCACTTATGCTCTAAGCACCCAGCTAATCACCTCACATACAGAATCCCATTAATTCCACAGAAAAATGTCTATGAGGCATATACTATCCTCATTTTATAGCTGGAAGAACTGAGGTCTACAGAAGTTAACTTCCCAAAACTGTACAGCTGTTACATTAGGTGGTGGATAGGAGTTAGGCTCTTAAACACTATGCTATATCCAATCAAATGAGAAAATGAGAGGAAAACATGCAGTCTGAGGGTAGTCTGATTCTATTCAAGGTGGTTTCTCTAGTTATCTTCTTTCATATTGAAGAGTAGCAATAGATAGTAAGACACAGTAAGCAATGAGTAACAATGGACGGTAAGAAAAAGTAACAGGCACTAAGATATCTAGATCTCAAGTTTACCACGCAGAACCTGCCGTAGGAAATGCAGCCCTCAGGCTCCATTCAGACACGCCCTCCTTCATGTTGCCTTTGACCATTTGCAGCAATTAGACGTGACCTCATCCACCTGTGAACATCGGAGTCCCTCACTTGTTCATTGATTATGAGATGTATCACCTTCTGCCTGTGTAGCTGTTTACATAGAACTGGGTCTTACACATCTTAGTATAAAGCCTGAATCTAACACAGTAGCTTGTACAAATAAAGGTTCAATAAATAAAAATAAAACCAAATGAAGGCAGCTATTTTTATTGGGGGGCAGTGTGTTATAATAAAAAGTGAGATCTGAAATCACAGACACTGAAATCTGAATCCTGACCTTGGGAGATTTGTTTCTTGCCTTGGTTATTACCTCATTTACATACTACGGACAATAACACTTATAGGTTACTACTGGGCACTTTGGAGGGGATGATATGTAAAAGAGGAAAAGACAGTGGGCACTCAATAAATGATATTATTACAGGGCGCTGTAGAGCTGCAGGGCACGCTGTGTAGTATAAGACATAGGCTCCTGTCCAAGGAGCTAGTAGACTAATCTGCTTTTGGTTTATACATACAAACATGCCTAGAAATGCCTGCCCTTCCCCTTACATTATGGTCTCTCTATCAAATTCCCCCAATTCTAGTTCTGATCCTATCTTTTAAAAGGCATAGAATGACACCTAATGTTAGCTGAGGGAGCAGGGTTGGGACGGGGTGAAAAGGAAAGATTATCAGCATAGGAAACCAGGAACAATGTGCACTACTGCGTGTCGTTGTTCTATTTCTTGGTCATATATCCTGAGATGTGCCGTATAATGGACATTTTATAGACGAAGAAACACTCACAGAATGAACTGCTCAAGGTCCCAGTCAGGAAGTGGAAATTCTGTGGTCTGAATCCCTGTCTTTTGTCCCCAAAGCCTGGCAGCTCTTTCTGCTACCTTGTAATGAGAGTAGGAGATAAACCCGAGGTGTTACAGATAGAGCCCCCTCGTATTCTGGTTCTATAAAAGAGAAGAAAATGGCTTCAGTGGGTGGGGGTCTGGACTGGCAGGGTACATGTCCCACAAGGTCATTCTAGCTAAAAACACCAGCAGTATTTAGCTTTTTATTCTGACTGGGAATCTTTGGCCTGTCTTGGACCTGACTCTTGCCATCCTCCATATAGGTATCACTTCTGTATTGTTTGCCTGGATGAGGGTTAACTGGCTTGGAAAAAGAGATGGGGAAGGAGCAGATTCCACAATGCTCTCTGTTTCCACCTTCATCCATACCATCTGTAGTACAGAGAAGAGGACCGGGAAAATAATGGGGGGGGGGCGTGTCGTGTGAGGAATAAGGAAAAGAAGGGGGACCTTGGAAAGGAATGCATTTGCTATTGTTCGAATAAAGAAGTTTCCATCACTGACCCTACTACCCTGTTGTCTGTCTAGTAATAATACTGGATTTGTGCTGAGTTAGCCTCTCATTTTCACCATGTGTAGTACAACAGGATCATGGGCACCAGGGCCAGACAAAATCTAAAATCACATCCTATTGGCTGTGGTGTGTCCTTGGTCAAGCTACTAATTTGTGTGTTTCCTTATGTGTAAAATGGATTAGAAGTACTTACATTACAGAATTATTAAGAATTAAGTAAGTATTTTGCATTATTCCCAGCACAGAAAGTAATCAATAAATAGAAGTTTCCCCTCCTTCCCTTCCAAGACCCCATCTTTCCAAGATCAGGGTTAGTATAACATGTGACAGTGATACACATTAAAGGCCCAAGGCCACTGTCCTAAGCAATGTGAGCTTCAGGTCAAATTGTAACTAGGTGGTTTAGGGACACATCACAGGCATCACCGTTCTGCAATTTTTAGCTTCCCCTGTCCTGGT